ATCTGCAGGAAGGGTCATCCCTCCTGAGTAATGACAGTGTTGGAGGGGGACACATAGGCTACTGTATATGCAACGCGTTCTCATCTCAGTGCGTCATTAGTCTGGTATATGCAAGGATGGATGACCCGGGTACTAATTTGGATTCCCTCGTTTGAAAAGATAGTAAACCAAATGCATTGCACTTGTGTTTAAACATTTCACTCACTTAATGAGGCTGCCACTGAGTGAAAATAAATATAAATTGTTTGATGTGACATAAGCGGCACACTGAAGATTTACTTAATAAATACTGTATTTTCCATAACGTATTTTTACAAGCAGCGCATCACATCCACATGCTGGCACACAGCGTTTGGCACAATTAGGCAACGAACATGTGATAAAATATATGAAACTATGCACACTATGCATTGAAAACGGCATCAATTTAAATGTAATTTAAATCACATTTTATTTAAATCCTATTCACCTTTTTTATGAGAATGAATTGCACTGCATGCAAGAATTAACTACTGTGATTCCTGATTAAACTTTACAAAATATTTGAGGTGTTCTTTTGCAAACACTGATATTTATGTTTATTATCCTAAATCATGTTTTGTTTTGTGAGTGTGTGCACTGCAAATGATCTTAAATTATGTTTTTTATTGCATTGGGAAAATGGGGAAAATCAATCAAACAGGTCTTTATTCGAAAAGGCTTTCATCTGTTTGGCAAAATAACTCTTATAATTTTAAATGATATTAAGTTTTATTGGCCTATAATACTCAGGGGTAATATTATTTTATACAACAGTAGTCACTTCAACTGTTTCATCCTTCTGCCATGTCAGTCGCCGTTTCTCATTTCTCCAGTTTATGTGCGTACAGATTGCTCAGAGTTTACATGAAGGACCGCACATTCTCCTAACAAGTTTGTAAGATCACAACCTTTGCTTGGAAGGTGGCATATGTACGTTTCCTGCCCTGTTTTGTGAGTGAGGCCCCAGATCATTATAAATAGCCAAAACACAGACTGATGTGGGCCATATAGCTCATGACCCCAAAAATGCAAGGAGTGTCGTCTTTCCGATGACACAATGGATGACTAATAAATTACTAATTAAAACACTTTTATCTATTACTGATTACGAAGCAACCTCTCAAGGACAGAACAGATCTGCTACAGTAATCTATTCCCTCTGTGGGATTAACATGTATCATGCTGTATTTTAGCACAGCTTGCATTCATGTTACTTTATGTACAAGAAGAACATGCTTTGAAATGCTATGTGTAACCCAGCTGTGACTCAGTGTGAGTTAATGGTCTTCCATGTCAGTGTTTGCCAGGATGAAAGTGGTGCTGTTGTTGTGTTATGTACTAGTGAACAGCTTTAGATTCCAACTTGTCTTCATGCGATTTTGAGGCAGGTTGACCGTCAAGTTTCATCTTCATTAATGAATGACTATGAATAGATTTAAATTATATTAAGATTATAACTCTAACTAAAATTTGTCCATGTTAGGCCTTCATCAGAGGATTGAACCCATCCCCTTGTCGCCAACCCTGCCATCAGATCAAAGTTAACAATTGTTCACATACAATCACACAGACACATCAAAATCTGAAGGGCTGGATGGCATTTACGTTTACTTTCTGCGCTTTTATGCTCCCAGAAGATGAACTTTTTTTAGACACTGTAAGAGGCATCCTCTAGTGCCACCATACCAACTTTGCACATAATTGAATTGCCACTTTTCCGTGAAATCCCCTTTTGATTTTGACACCATTATCTTTCCATATTGTGAAACCTGAAAGAAAATGGTCCACCAATCTGGCAAGATGGTCTTAAAACTTATAGGAAGGCCTTCCGTGGGGGTGGATCAGTGATGGTTTGGGCTGCCATATCATGGCATTCCCTTGGCCCCATACTTGTGCTAGATGGGCGCGTCACTGCCAAGGACTACCGAACCATTCTGGAGGACCATGTGCATCCAATGGTTCAAACATTGTATCCTGAAGGAGGTTCCGTGTGTCAGGATGACAATGCACCAATACACACAGCAAGGTGAAAGATTGGTTTGATGAACATGAAAGTGAAGTTGAACATCTCCCATGGCCTGCACAGTCACCAGATCTAAATATTATTGAGCCACTTTGGGGTGTTTTGGAGGAGCGAGTCAGGAAACATTTTCCTCCACCAGCATCACGTCGTGACCTGGCCACTATCCTGCAAGAAGAATGGCTTAAAATCCCTCTGACCACTGTGCAGGACTTGTCATTTGTCATTCCCAAGACGAATTGACGCTGTATTGGCCGCAAAAGGAGGCCCTACACCATACTAATAAATTATTGTGGTCTAAAACCAGGTGTTTCAGTTTCATTGTCCAATCCCTGTAGCTCAAAGACTTGAAGAACTGGGAGACTGTAAGTGTTTAACATAGACTGTATAAAAGGTGTTCAGACCTTTACTCAAGCACTGGGGAGGTGGGACCGAGCAAATATGTTGGCTGGGACATGAGATCTTGATTGATAGCTCTACTGTTTTTCTAAACTGCTAACTGTTGCTATATGTACATAGTCTATCTGTATATACTTAGTTAGCCATGCAGCTTGCTGTCCTATTAGTTGACTCAGCCCCAGGGTGCAAAGGACCAAACCTGGGAACAAAACCACCTCAGTACTGTAATCTGTTACTCCTCAAGACTGTTAGCTATCAATCCACAATGCACGCCAAAGTTAGTCACGGAATTCCACAAGTTTCTGTGCTTGGACAAATCCTGTTCCCTTTATATATCCTTCATTTAGGCAGTATTATCAGGAAATACATACACTTTCATTGTTATGCAGATGAATTATATATATTGATCAAGCCAGATGAAACCTTGGCCCCAATCACCTATAAGAAGCATTTTCTACTCTGGATGACATCTCCGAGGCCTCCAGCACCACTAGCTCCTTTCTTGTCCTCTCCCTCTCCATCCGTATGCATTCTTATCCCATTAATGCACGTTGCTAACTCGACTTCTTCCCTCTACTGTAGTTTTGCGCTTTCTCGTCCCTCCACTCTCTCCTCTCTCCTTCTGTTGCTTTCTGCAGGTGTTTCTTGCCTTGGAGCTATGGGGTCTGGATCTGTGGTTGCAGACTTCCTGCTGCCCCCATGTTCCTGCTTGACACCAGATAGATAGATAGATAGATAGATGATAATAATGACACATTACTCCAACATGAACACCTTAATTCAACTGCCTCATGAACATTGAGTGATAAAATTATTATTGATAACCCTGTCTCATATTACTGTAAAGTGATGTGGTTTTGTGTCTGATAAGCCTTCAAAATCATGGATCTACAGTATTACTGAAACTTACCATCCATCTAACATAGACCCATGCGTCTTTTTAACCCAGTGCAATTTCCAGGCTGTTTAAGTATAAATATTGAAACACACACTATTCTAATCATGTGCCAGTTACTCTAGGTGACAGTTCATGGGTGCAAATCTGTCCAGTAGACCGTGGGATGTCAGGCACAGCTGGTGTTTAGGTGGGGTGGGGTCTGGTGGGAGTAAAGGGGGGTAACAAGTCTCTCACAGGCTGAGTGATGGATGTCTGACTGCTAAGCTCCATGCTACAAAGGATCCACTAAAGCTGCTGAAGACATTAATGAGCCAGTGACCAAAACCTGGCCTGGATTGACTGGACTGCTCAGTCGTTGGCAGACCTGATGTTAACTATAATGGTCCACTTTTAAAACTTCTTTGTTATCAGTCAAGTTCAACATTTGGCATACAAAAGCAAAGTTTCATTTATTCAAAAATAGAAAGAACAGAAAGGTTAAACAGTCTTTCCTTACACAAGCAGTCTTATATATATATATATAGTCTTATATATGTATTTTCAAAAGTAATCATACTTTTTTATGTAGTTTTGTTTTAGAGGTTTGGATGAATAAAACTATACAAATGAATAGCTCCCAAAAGTCTGATGGTTTTACATTTTAGAAACATTATGTTTATTAATAGTATGGTTAGTATTTCGTTTTTTTTCTTTTTACAAACACTGATGGTTGCCATAATGTTACAGGTAATGTTAATGCATTGTTGTTAATATTATTAAATCAGTATGATTTGGACATTTGGTAAATGTGACTATGACTTGACTATGTGGTAAATTGAAAAATTGTAGTTGATGCCAAAAGGTCCACAAGTAATATCATAGTAAAACATATATATATTTTTTCTTGGTTGGACAACGACACAGCAAGTAATGTAACTAACGTTAGCTAGGGTGTGGGTGTACAAACTGTCACTGTGAAGCTAACATGTAGAGAGGAGGAGACAGTCCCAGAGCCAGCACAGCGATACTCCCAGCTCTCCTGCTGCTATAGCTAACATCACAACAAAAGCATGTCTTGGCGAACTAGAAACTAAGCTGAATGTCTATGAGTGATTAATTTAACGTTACTGACACAGACATCATGGCTGGAACGGCTGGAAGAGTGTGGGAGCCACTTTGTTTGTTTACCATTTACAGAGCCAGGGCTGAGTACAAACACCTCTTTTTTCATCGTAGACACAGAACGGACAGATAGAGGACTCTGAGGAGATATTCGCTAAATTTGACAAAAATTAGAACCACATACCCCATATGTAAACTGAATTTAGTGTAATTTAACTCATGAAAGCTGTACTTATAATGTAAACTAATAAACTAATTTGTTTTCTTTGTTCTTTCCTTTAGGAGTTCAGAGAATGAGCATCAGTGTTAGCAGGTGTTAATCCAGCTCATGTTTTCCTGTCGTCTCTCTGCTCTCATGGCTGATTACACTCTGTGAGTCCAGAGCAGGGAGGGCTGTCTGTTTGAGTTCAGTGCTGCACTCATTAGTCACCAAGCATGGGTCTTTATAGCATGCCAGCTTCTAAACACAGGGCAACACAGTAAGGAGCTTCTCTACCACTCAGCAGCATGTCAGTGCTCTAGGACTTCTCATTTCTCTTTTTTACTACAAATTACCTTGGGGTCTTGTACAGACCCAGGTCAGTGGTTTTACCATGGAGTTGGGGAAAGTTCATCTGAATCTAAAGACAGTGCTGTTGACGATGATGATGTTCAAATGGGGTAAGTAAATAGAAAGAGTTCTGCTATATTATTATTCTGTTTCCTGTGTTAAAGTACAGTTTGAAGTTCCTTTTGGATGATAAAGTACTGAAGGGAACGTCACGGACTAAATGCCAAGAAAGATTCTATGTGGCTACATGCTTGTTGTTTGAAGTTAGTGTTTAATCCTTTTTCTGTGAAAGCAACAGGTTGCATGGAAAGAGTTATTACAAGGACATAAATACCCTCAAGAGCTATTTTACCTCACATATACTATGCTAAATGACAGAAACCATATTAGTGTTAGCATTTTATCATTCATTGGACAGTCCAGAGGAGTCCTGAGGATTCTCACTTTCCTTGATCCAACAGTTAACAGGAGCAGGTCTGAGGAATGTCATCAGTGCTCTCAGAGATGCTGCTCCATGAATGGTGCACAAGTGGTTTTCAGGAGGCTTATTGGGGTAGTTTGTGGTCCCACTATATTATGAGACTCAAATAGATGGATCCAAGTGGGGGTGTTTTGTCCTTTGTGAAAATGAAAAGGGGATTTTCTACTACAAATCTACAAACTATCTACAAAGTTTTTACAAAAAAAACATGAGCATTTGGAGGATAATTATTTCAATAACAGATGCTGTTGGTCTTTGTTAGAAAAATATCTTTGGATTCTTAAATGTTGCTAGCCATGGTGTATGGTGTTATTACTATTATGACATTGTTAATGGTAGAAGGTGTGGCTTTATTTGACATTTATTTCTGTTTTTTACTAGCCCTTTCTATTAGATTTTACACATGACTGGTTGAGAATCAGAGGCAGTGCTCCTCAGTCATGCATACTCAAACAGAGCAAATGGGTGAGATCCGTAGAGAAAGGCTCATTTATATCTGTGCATGAACTGAGGTGCAGAATGAGGTCACATAATATCCAGAAAGTTTAAATTTTTGTTTTTAAACTAAAGCAATTCAAGTTGTTTGAAGGAATATTTTATCTCAGTGTTCTCAAAATGTGGGGCGGGTCACGTTTGGGGGGTTTAGAGTTATTGCAGACATGTGACTGGGAGAAAAATGTGGAGTGGAACTCAAGTTTAATTAATCTGATTTATGTGAAAACAAGACCAGAGTTCCCCCTTACTAACGCTGCTAATACTCTCGGATTCAATAGTGTGACTTGTGGAAAGGTGATAGGAATGTGAAGATCATGTTCTTGATAATGTTACTTTAATAAAATAATGTTCAACTCAGATTATCCCAAATTTATTAATGCTTTATAAATTCAATCTAGCTTCAAGGAGGTGGAGGAGAAGGTGGTGAGGACAGGGATGAAAAACTGGGAAAATGTTATGGGGTTTGAAAGCACAAACACTTTGATTTTCAGATGGTTTCATCTTTAAACAAAGCAAGATTGACCTTGATATTCCAAATTCAGATGGGGTTCAAAAATGACACTTAAACAATCAGTATCAAATTTAACATCTTGAGCAATCATAAATTACAGGTAGATATACCTCAAAAGAAGATGATAACAAGGCTGTGATTTGATATTTGAAAACGTTTTTGGGGCATTTATTGGACAGTTGATGGTACAGAGGCAGACAGGGTATATGGCATGCGTCTTCAACACTCCTACCTAGGGCTGGACGATATGGCCAAAAATGTGATCACGATAAAAAGTTTCATATCTTTCGATATTGATAATTATCACGATAAGTATCAAATAGTTTTTTCTTTCAAGTTGAGGCTGATTTTTGCTCCTGAGTGAAAGTTACAGAAACCTGATGGTTAAACTTTTCTTTATGGTCAACACTTGATGCCAAACAGTGTATCACATCACAAATCTGAGACAGAACATTCAAAATATTTATGATAAAATCTTTGTCGACAAATATCTTTAAGTAAAATTAAGTCATTAAGGGACGACACTTTTTCCTCAACAGAATAAACATCTTAATAAGAAAAATTAAGTCCTAATTCGTGCATTTATTGAATATTTATTGAACATTTGTTATATTTTTATTGAAAAAAATTATATTGCGATAATTATTGTTATTGTTTTACTGTCCAGCCCTACTCCTACCAGGTCGCTCCGGGTTTGACTGTGTTAACTGGAACTGTGTCAGGTGAACGCGACATCTGTCCTTGTCTGACCTGTTTCCTCTGCGTCACGTCTGATAAGTACAGGTGTCTGAGCAGTCAGGGTCAACCTTGTGTGGTTGGATGAATGATGGACAGGTCATAGTGTGGCGTGTGGCTCTCTGCTGTGGGTCTGGGTTTGTCCTCCGATTTAGATCTAGATTTAAGTCAGATTTTAAGAAAAATACTAGCAATTAACAAACAGGGCGACGCATGTATGTTTGAAATGGTAATGAGCTGCATGACATCTGCAGTAGAACTGCTTTTTCCCTCTATATCAACTCGTAAAAGGTCCACTTTTCCAAATTTCTGTCAAAAAAGATTTTCATTTACTCTCAAAGGTAGGTCAAATCTTCCAGTAGAGTAGATTTCAACTCATTCATCATTCAAGTTCATCAACTGTACATCCACAGCTTTTTTGCTGGTTACAGGTACCTGTCACTTGTATATCCTCTTCAAAGTTACACAAAATCTGTTAACAGTTGTTGAGACTAGCCCATCCCATTATGTCTTAGGACTGCATTTACTGTACATTGTCCAAAAAGAGATTTTGTTCTGTGCATCTCCAGAAAACATGGGTATAGTTTGCCTGCATGTGACTATATAGCCTCCAACACACATTGAGTGGCTAGTTGTCTGCGTCTGGTGTGTGGCGGGATCTCCAGAGAGATGGATACATAAATAAGAATACAGTATACATTAAAAATAGATAATTCAGATAATTGATGTCTGTGGCAGTGTGTGTAACATCAAAGGAATAGTTCAACACGTATGAGAAAATATGAGAGGGATATGAATCATCAATCTCGTGTCTGTGTGTTAATTATAGAGTTGGTGTCAGGATGTGGTTAGGCCAGCTTAGCACAAATGCTGGCAGCAGGGGGGAACAGCTAGCCTGGCTCTCTTCCAAACAGAAAATACTGAACACTGATATAAAAGTTGTCACTTTCTGAAAAAGCCAAAATGTTTAACTATTCATTTAATGCTGTTTGGATATTAAAACTTTCTGGCAATGCTCACTGCCTGTTTACATTTTGGTACTATGCTATGTTTTATAGGACCAATAGTATCATAAACTAATTCATTCCAGCACAAGTAGTTTTGCTTTAGGTTTAGTGGATCAACATGAAATAGTGTGGTTAAAATAAAGTGTTTAATATTGTCAAATGTTATACTGTAACCCCAGTACTTAGAGCCACCTAGAGTGTTATTCCACTGTCACCAAATCCTCTTGCCACATTTCATGAGGGTCCAAGTATGAGAAGCTGGTGAAATATGAGGTTGAAGTGACACAAGAAGTCAGGAAGAACAGTATGTGGGAGAGGACATGGTGACAGAGTGGACACATGCTAGAGGTTGAAGCTTCAAGCTGTAATCTGTGCAGGTATCCTGCCACCACGAGATTAGAGGAGCAAGGGGATTGGCCCAAAGAGGCCAGACGGATTACAACATGGAAAGGCTATGGAGGGCAAGGAGGCCATCAAACTGACTTGAGTGAAAGAGGGGGAGGGAAAGTAGGATGAAGAGTAGAAGTGGGGGGTTGATAAAGAGAAACAGGTGGTGATGGGGATCAAAAAGAAGGAAAGGGTGTGCACATTGAAAATCAATGCATTGACAGAGAGAGAGACAAAACTGAAAGACTAAAAAGGATCAGACATCTAAAACCAGAAAATATTACATGAATATCATCTTAGTCCTGCACTGTACTGATTTGGAAAGATGATGACGTGATGCTGACATCTTTTTATCTTAGTTTAGCCTCACCCCCTTGAGTGACCCATCTCCAGCAGCTCAGCCTCCACCGGTCTTCACCAGGTGATCTTTGGTCTGCCTCATTTCCTTCATTTGAGAGGTATATGTAGTATGTGTCCAAGCCATCTTAGAAGACGGTGTTTATGTAGAGTTCCTTATTTGAAGTCTTTTTGAAGGCCAGAACATACGGCAGATATTATATAACAGTCATTGTGGAATGAGCTGACTTTGATTAGCACTCAGCACCATTTAGCAGAACTGGCTTGATCAAGGTGAAGCAATGCATTGGGATCTTGGTTTTGAGGCTGTAGGTGTTGGAATTTCAGATGAGATGGAGTCTCTGGTAAAGACTGCAAGCTTTCTAAAGTCTGTGCTGGATATCTTGTTGGGCGCCATCATCCTAACTCATCAGACTTATCAGATACAACGCGTGAACGCACCACAAATGAGCTACTGTCCACATAGCTAATAAGAAGATGTGACTTTGCAACCCCTGGAACATGCCCCCAAAGGAGCGTTTCTTTGTCCGTGTTATCAATGGCTACAGGTGTGCTGGAAGCTGCAGTGATGTTGATAGGTACGTGTCCCGCATTTCTGATGGGTATGGGTCCTGTGTCTCTGACACATTAAACCTGTACAAAGCGTATAGTATATATAGAATATAGGCCAGCACTGCTTTACAAACACCACTTACAGTAAACTAAGTAATCACTCAAAGCAGAGATGTCAGACAGAGGCAGCCTCTTACCAAGTACAGACTCATGACCACACTCTTGCAATTGGAAAAGGGAGACATAAACAGTCCCGGTTACCAAGAGAATATAGAGAAAAAACATTGAAGCATAAGAGAGCAATATTTTGAGAAATTCCATCTATTTAATACAGGATTTTAAAGAACCTGAAGGTAATAATGAATTAAGAATAATCCTAGAAGAAGGACGAACAGCAAACCTTTCAGCCAAGTATGTGCCCCTGTGTCACAACCTGAGGGACAGCGAGTAACTCAGCCAGCTCTTGCACTTGGCATATTACATCTAGTTTACTTTTATTTGTATCTCTATTTATTATTTTTGTTTTTGCAATTTATAACTGCTAAATTGAATGGTTTTGACTGGATTAATCTTGTTATGTCATATTTAAATGTAAACGTTTGATTTTGAAACAGCTTTAGCAACATTGTTTAAATTAAATGAAACATTCCTAAAGCACAATGAACTGAACTGTATATTGTGGCTTTGCTATAAACATTACTGCTGCTGCTCAAGAAACAACATTTAGTTATATTTAAAATACACCATTTTAATACTAATATTCTTTAAAAAATAAAGATATATATATATATAAAGAATAAAGGCCTGAATTCACTTGTCCCTTTATATTGGACAGTGATTTTTTAACCCATGTTTGACCCAGCAGCACTTAGCACAAAGTTAAGTTTCTTATGAAGCAAGCAAAGGATCACCTCCTCACTCAGTTAACATGTTTATCCTGGTCTTACATCAAGGAGACTTCAACCTAATCTTGAAACCCTCAACAGCCACCTGCGACTCTCCTCTACAGGTGGCTAACACGCTCCTGCAGCCCACTATAATCTGTGAAGTTCAAACACAGTTAGTGTCTGCAGTTTAGACTGAGGAGAAGACACACCTCAACCAGAATTGGAAATGACAACAACCTTCTGCTTCGTAAGGGTGACGTGAGGCTGCAGCTGCCTGGCAGAAGTAGGACCAGCTGTCAAACGTATATAAAATTACAAATCATGAGGTTATGGGTGATGGTATAGGACAAATGAGGGGCTGGAATAACTGATCACAGACTGTGTCATTTCTGTGGTTATTTTTTTTAATTATTAAAACACATACATCTACATGTTATATTTAACTGTATTCATTTTATATTTGCAGCTTGTAGTTGCCTTGGATTAACAGTTTAGTAGTTACTAGTTGAACTTGTTTTTAGTGCTTTAGTGTCCAGTCCAATCATTATGCATAGTAGGTAGGTAGGTTTATTGTCACAATATAACAAGTTATAGAGTGAAATTGAGTTTTGTAACTCCCTTCTGATACATAGCAGACAATATACAAAGTCTCCACACAGTAAGCAGACAATGAATTAAGTTACTGTATGTAAGGAGATCAGGATATTACATGCACTCATCCTTTAGTGTAGCATGGTGTCAACACTGCTTTTAACTTTATTTCTTTTTTTTAGCTCTGTTTGTTGTGGTTTTTTATGTGTTGTCTATGTTTGTTTTATTGTCTCTACAATTATATGTGTTTTATCACTTAAAAGTCTTACCAGGGACAAGGACTGCAAATTTGTTACAGCTAGATGTCCTATATACATTACATTGGCTGCATTTTATTTAAATGTAACAATGCCTGTATGTATTGTCCCTGTCAAATAAATAAATAAAACAAGATTACAATTTAATAATTTAACTTAATTAGAGATTGTAGTAACATTTTAAACCACAGTCAGAATTATACATGACCCTCTTTCCACAAAAAACTTTTGTGTGGAGTTACGACCTGAATAAAACTGTTTTTTTCACTTTGCATTTGATTGTAAATATAAAACATTACAATGTGAATACTTTTCTTTAAGTTCTTGACGGCATGTTTGTCACTCCAACTATACAAATATAGTGAAAATGAACAATTATTCAGAATCAAAAAATGTAAAGCATTAAAACAAGAAAATGTCTTGAGAATACTGCTGTTAAAAAGCACCTTATTTATTGTGTAAAGTGTTTGCAAACTACATGTTATTGCCCTTTTGTGAATATAGCTGTACATTTAAATTAAAAGATACAAAAATACACTATTTTAGAATTCATTATTCAATTTTGCGCATTATTGCAATTAATCGCGATTAAATATTTTAAGCAGCACTATTAACAACAATAAATATGCTACGTCTGGTCAAGTTAGCAACAATAAATATGTAACATCTTGTTAAACTTAATAAAATAATAAAATTGCCTCCCTATGCAGACTTTGTCGCTCTTTACACTATGTCACCTTACATCCACCTGACGTATAATGCTTGCAGCATTAAAAAATGAGGTTAAAGGGGTTCCAAGACTATTAAAACTGACGCCACAGGATCTTGCCAAGGTGTCCATATGTAGCAGCTTGAGAGTGAGTATGAGTTGTTCCAGTTTGGCCCCGCCTACTTCAAACCACTGACAAAGAGTACAGGCAAAACCAAAAATAATATACCCCCATCCCATCCCCCATTAATATCTTCCACTTCAGTGACAATTTGAAAACAAGAGACTGATCAAAGTGTCGGGGGCTGGGAGGCTGGGAGGCTGGGAGGCTGGGAGGCTGGGAGGCTGGGAGGCTGGGAGGCTGGGATTGGTGGACGGGTAGTTGAGACTGGCCTAATAAAAGGAATGTGGACTGATTCAACAGAGACCTCATGGCATTGGCTGGAGAGGGGCGACAGTGTATGTAAATTCTCACTAAACTACCCCACCCCCCTACAACTGTTCACATTCACGTGAAATGACATATAGAATGGCCCCACTATTGTTGCTGAGAGTGGCTATTCATAGACGATAATGCACAGTGCCGTCATTACTGCACTGGCTACGAGCTGATTGAGAAACCAAACCAAAGGAACAGCCTGCAGGTTAGCCCAGTGTTCATTAACAGTGAAACTTTGTGCCTCATGCACCTTTGTGAAACAAGACTAAAAATCACACTGGAGGCCATGGACAGATTATGACAGAATGGGCCCTTGGGCACAGATGCATAAAAGGCCCTCCACCCAGGTTAACCTTCACTCTAGAGTTCTGTTGTTTGGTGAGAGCAGCACCTGAACTGAAACATTTTGTTCACGCTATACATAAAGAGAGGCTACCTAACTCCTGTCCAAAGCTTCTTGTCACAGCAGACCCACACTGACACTCTTCTCCACAGATATTACAAGAAATCCTGTGAAAGTGTGCCAATTCAAACATGTTTGAATTTTCTTACTTCTTTTAATGCAGGCTTACTGTTATTGATCCATCCGTCGTCAACCGCTTTGCCAGTCCATCGCAGCGCCACACATAGACAAACAACCAGTCACACTCACACCTAAGGACAATTTAGGGTCACCAATTCACCTAGGCCACATGTCTTTGGACAGTGGGAGGAAGCCGGAGAGAACCCACGCAGACACGGGGAGAACTCCACACAGAAAGGCCGGTTATCCACTGTGCCTTAATTATATTGATAAAATACACAATTAAATAAGTACATGAATTAATAAATTGATAGAGTGACAATGTTCTATGGGTCTGATTCAGTAGCTTTTGTTTGAATCTCAATCAAACATAACTGTTGATCCCATCCCCGGAGGTTAATCAACAAATGAGTTGCACTGCATTTACTGTATTACTGTTACTGTTACAATCCAAAAATCCTGCACATTATTGTCTTAACTCACCTACAAAACAGTAGTAAATAATTTGTTAATCAGTGATAAAGCCATTTTTAAACTTATAAACCATTTGAAATGGTGGAGTTGTGTCCCATTTTCATTCAACTTTCAGGAAATTTAACAGATTGTTAAAAAAAAAAAAAAAGGCATCCACTATCTATCTAATGTAAAAAAAAAGAAAAAAAAAGAAAAATCTGAAAAATGTAAAAAAAGAAAAAAAAAAATTGTTGTAATACACTTTTCTTGAGGTTCTGACCCTTACGTTGGGTACCACTGCTCTGTATTAGATACGTTCTGGCACCTGCATTAATTAATCCTCATCCTAACATTTCATTTGTTTTTCAGGAATCCTCTGCACAGCCACATCAGACAAATGTTTGTCTTCACCCTGCCAGAATGGAGCTTCCTGTGTGGACACCATGGATGATTATGCCTGTATCTGTACCAGAGAGGAGGTCCGATACATGGGCAAGAACTGTGATGAACTCTATGACGCCTGCTCCTTTGCCCCATGTGAAAACTGCACAAGCACCCCTGGCACCACAGAATACCACTGCATCTGCCCGGACGGACTAACAGGCGATAACTGCACAGAGGAGGTGGACGAGTGTCAGAGCAACCCATGTTCTGAACCCCGTTCTCTGTGTGTTGACCAGCTGAATGGATACTTCTGCAGATGTCCTGCTGGGTACGGAGGACAGGACTGCAGGACTCATGTGACGGACTGCATCGATGAACCCTGCAGGAACAATGGGATATGTGTATTACGACCAGAGGGCTTTGAATGCCGTTGTGCGCCAGGGTTTGCAGGGAGGAACTGTGAGGAAGATGTGAATGAGTGTTCATCAGAGCCCTGTCAGAATGGAGCTATCTGTATAGATGGAAAGGCAGAGTTCCACTGCTTCTGTGTGCCTGGTTTTCAGGGCTATAACTGTGAAATCGACATCAACGAGTGTGCGTCGCGACCCTGTGAGAACAATGCCACCTGCATTAATGAGAAGGACCACTACGAGTGTGAGTGCCTGGAAGGCTTTGCAGGTAGACCTACATCCAAAAGTCACACACACACACGTGCAATCTACCTGATGAGTATTTAAACACTACAGATACATACAGTACTCAAAGAGCAGGAGGAATGGGGGGTAATGTGTTCTGACTTTAGCTGAAATCAGTGAATGAAGATGTTTAACAGTGTGTCATCATTAGTCATCTCCTCTAAGAAGACATCAGCAACGAGACAAGGCCTTTTTGCTTGCTGACAGCGTTTATTTGTTCCCCTAGAGCTTTATCTACTTTCCTCACCATCATTTGTCACTTCCAGAGTCTTTTGTTTGTTCCTGATAAACTGGGCACGGCGAGTATTTTAAGTGCACTGTAAGATGTTTTTAGTCAGGCATCTTATCTGCAGCTCAGATAAAGTCTCTGCGCAGAGTGAGAGAAAACACTCACATCTTGCTTTTCTTCCACTCCTTGCTTTCTCCAAGAGCCTGCTCTGTGTCAGAGGAGCTTCATGTTATCTGTGAGAGGAGGGGTTAGATCAGCACTGCTGCATTCCCCTGTCAGTCTGTTTGTTTGGAGAATGTAAAGAAAGGTGTTTTATCATTGTGGATGTCTGGAGACCAGAATAGGCACACTGATCTAGACATGTGGGCAGTTCAGTGTGGTTGGTGTGTTGATTTATAAAGATTTGACTCTTTACTGTATCTATGTAGCTACATTTATCCAGTATGACAACTTCATTTCATCATCACTGTTATCAAAATCATTATTCAGATTTCTCTCCCAGTGCTTTCTACAGTCACCTCCTAACTTTCCCCTCCTCCACCAGGAGTCAACTGTGAAACTGAAATAGATGAGTGTGAGTCCAGCCCCTGCCGCAACGGAGCCACCTGCCACGACCTGAGCGCCATGTACTCCTGTGAGTGTCTGCCCGGGTTTGACGGCATCGACTGCGAGGTTGACGTTGATGAGTGTGCCAGTGAGCCGTGCCTGAATGGAGCTGTCTGTCACGACATGGTGAACAGGTAACAAGCTGAATGTGCTGTCTGTCGGAGCTGCAGCAGGGAAGACTGTGATTGAAATGGTGAGGACAGATATACCTGGGTAGCTTGTGCAGGCATCAGATGTTCCCCCGTTGAGATTGTACCGAGCCTCAGTTTGGTTTAACAACACTTTCCATTGTAAGTTCTGAAGGTATTTCCAAAATCCTCAGACATCTTTGTGTGGATTAGGAAATATAGTGGCTATTGTTATATCATGCAGTAGACAGAAGACTTCCTCATCCAGATGGCTAGAGGAGTCTTTAAGGATTTTGGAAACTCCTTCAGAGCAGCAGCAGAGCTATTGAACCACCCCCTGGGCTTGTATAAATAAAATATAATACAAATATTTACAGAACAGACTGGGGCTATAGTATACCAATTAGCAATGCTACAACCCCAGAATGGCTTGTTCAGAATCAGAATCATCAGAGTCAGTCCTGGGCCTTGTTACTGAGGCCACCTGCAGATGGGAAGAAACTGTTCTTGTAGCCGAGGTCCTGATGTAAAGCAGAGTAAATGCTCTGTATTTGTATTTGTATAGCACCTTTCTAGTCTAGTCCACTCAAAGCGCTTTTACACTACATCTGCATTCACCAGTCACACACCTTTATACACTGAGCCTAAGTGCTCAAACAGAAACTAACATTCACACACAATTCGATATATATACTCCAAAATGGCCATGGACACCAGGGCACCAGACTCGCACATGGTTCTGTATAAATACTGCTTTGGGTTTGGATAGCAGATGAGAACATTTTTATCAGATGGAATCTCACAGCTATGATGGTGTGGACATTTGGACTTCAATGGATTTTTTTGCCTCATTACAAACAATACTTTTTAAGGTTGATGGGTTACCAGGAGTGGATTGGTAAATGAATGGACCAACTGGGCACCGATGTCAGGGGGCCCCTGCCTTTGCGTGATATGACGGTTGACTGGCCAACATTTCTTGTAGGCCAGTCAATGTGCTCAGTCCTACTGGAAAAACTGAACGAATCCCCTTCACACATCATTCACTGACACCATGGGACTGCTAGATAGGAGGTGGGGCCTTTGAGGTGTGTGTGCTAAGGAGTATATAGTCTCATAATCCACCCCACATAATCTATCCCACCAAAACATCCCAGAAAGGTCTCTATTTGGGTGTGGATGCCCACACACACCTCCTCAGTGCCTTCAGCCTCATCTCTGAATTACTGCTGACATCTGATTTCTATGAAAGTTGATCACAACTCAATAATGTTGTCATCTCAAGTTAACAACCTACAGTACTTTCTCGTGATCGTGATTGAATTATGAATAAGAAGTGCCTTATTCACTCATATTGTTTAATTTATCTCTTAAAGGTACCGTCACAAATGTATTTAGTCTAAGTCTGTGAAACTTTTGCTGTTTATATCATAAACTGATGGAAAATATGGATGTGTTGCCTATAACATCAAAAGATGTCTGTTTTAAAGACTGGAGTTTGCGTTCATCACTTGTTGCCGTCTTTGTTAGTGGAACCAGAAAAGTCAAACTTTTAGAAAGGTAAAAAGCTGTCATTATTGCTACTTTATCTTTAGCCTCTTCTGCATTAGCTTCAGCTTTCAGCCTTGATGGTGGCCAATTGGTTCACACTAATTAAATTCTAACCAAGCTGAGAGCATGTTCATGTTTCTTGAGGAATATCAGTTGAAACAGTAGAAAGCAGTGCCACTAGAGCTTTGAGAAATCCCCATGGCAGTTTCCTGTTTACATATTACTCGTTGTCGGAATGTTGATAAAATGTATGTATGTCTCTTGCAGCTATAAATGTGACTGCAGTGAGACAGGATTCGAGGGTGACCTCTGTGAAGTGGATATCCCTGAGTGTGCCTCTGATCCCTGTCAGCATGGTGCCACATGTCTAGAGGGAGTCAAAGGATACACCTGTCTCTGCTGGCCAGGTACTGAACTACATGCTGAACACCAAGTATTTATAACACAAGGATACACAAAGGTTGTGAACTGAGCAGACTGGGATCAACTAGTGTTTTTGCTTTGCACCACAACATTAGGTAGGTATGTATATTTATTTTATCACAGTGTAACAAGTTATAGCAAGAAAAGCCCTTCTGCCACATAGCAGCCAATTTACATCAATATAAAAGCATTTATCAAATGGGGAAAACAGAAATAAACTTTATTTAATGGAGCAGCTGAGGATGAATTTGAGCTTAAAAGTCTGGTAGCCTGGGGGGAAAGCTGCTCTGCATCTGGTGGTGCGGCAGCTGAAACTTCTAAAAGTAAGTGTAAAATCGTAGATATGTAATACTAAAAAAACAAAAGCAAATGTAAAATATATGATTAATATAATATAATACAACACATTCACAGAATAACATTTTAATTGGTTATTTACACCAATATGCTATCAATAAGGATCAATAAGACTTGCAAGTTAGAGCTCTGTGTGGCTTCACAGCTTGCTAATATACTTACAATGATAATGTTAACACTGTTGATATATAAATGTGCTCATGTATGGAAGTGTGGAATCAAAGGTTCAGTTGGGACTTCTTCAAACTTTGTGACCAATCTAAGACATATGTGGCAAATTTCACCTGTTAGTGTTCAGTGTAAAACAAATAACAAGTTTCTGTGTTGTTTTCCTCTAGGTTATGAGGGACCAAACTGTGAGATTGATATCGATGAGTGTGCTGAGCAGCCCTGTGAGAACAGTGGGGAGTGTTTTGAGCGTTCAGATCCGTCTCACTGGGAGCTGGACTGGGAGCTCAGCTTTGCAGACGCAGCTGGGTACATCTGCCAGTGTCAGCCAGGGTTTGCTGGTCAGTTAAACTAAAGAAACCAATAAGCAAAACTCAGTCCTTTCACCTTTTAAAATCTTCTGACAAACATTTGATTTCTTTCACATTACAGGTGAGAACTGCTCCGTCAACATTGATGAGTGTGAGTCTGAACCCTGCCAGAATGGAGGCTCTTGTAACGATAAGATCAATGGCTACACCTGCACATGCTCTGTTGGGTTTCTAGGTAAGTCTTTCACCTTGTAATGAACGGACAGAGTCATCTTTTGCATGTTACAATTGAGAAAACTGTATGTACTTCACATAGCCTTTCTATCATTGTAAAAAGAGGGCCCAATGGAATGATGATGGAATGGTGCAGCCATAAACAGCGTGGAGGACAAGATCCAACAAAAAGAGCACATTTTGTACTACAAATAAGAATAAGCTTGATTTGTCGAACTTAGACTGCTGAACCCTCAGTTAAATTTAAGATAACTTTGGAATGTATTTTTGCACAGAACAATGGCTGTATAATTTCTTTCTTGGATTTTAACAGCCGGTACATGAGGAATGATTATAGCAAAGGGTGGTGATGGCGCAATGGATAAGACACATGCTTTTGGTGTGAGAGACCTGGGGTTTTTTTTGGATAAAAGCGCCAGCTAACTGAATAAATGTAAATGTAAGAAAAACCTGTTTCCATGGGCACCTGACCATTGTTTTAAGACAGACGTGTAACCTATCTTTTAAGGCACTGGTTCTCAAAAAAGTTTTGTTTGTTTAGTACTAAAATGAACCTATGGTGAATTAGTTATCATAATTTAGGCTTCTATTTATTGATACAGATTAGGTTTGGTGGACGTTTTTTGAGCGAGAAATGCAGGGGGCGAGAAAAGAGGTCTAGTACAGGAATTAGTGCCACAACCAATTCCTGTTTTCATAATAGTTTAGTCTATGAAACATCAGATAATGGTGAGAACAGCCCAGAGCCCCAATGTCTTTTTTCCTCTCACCAACACACACTTTAAGATGTTTCTTAAAGGGATAGTTGAGGTTTTTTGAGGAGAGGTTGTATGAGGGTTAGGGTTAGACCGTGGCCAGCTCACTCCCTGTTTGGAGAAGCAGACAGTAGTGATGTGTCAGTTGTGAACATATAAGTGAATGATGGGAGACGATTTCTTCAACGAGCTGTAATTTCCATGACTAGCAGACAGGAGTCCCAGCAGGAGGGCAGAGCAATGCACTGCTGGCAGAAAAATTCATAAAAAAAAAAAAAAAAGATAGAAGCAATATCAGCTCAAGTGTACATGATATTCAGAATATTTTCAGTGCTGCATTGTTTTGCTTCCCTGCTGGGGTAATTACCATTTTTAAAAAAATATTTTGAATGTTTTCATATTTGTGTTTCTGTTACATTTTTACAGAAAGATTCACACGTGTTCACGTTGCAGCCCACATTCACATAAACCCCCACTCTTCACACTAATAAAAAGTGTAAGCACCTCATTGTATGCGCTCTGTCACCAATTTGTATTGGTGACAGAGCGCATACAATATTTTAGCTTTGCATATGATGAGTGTTCATCTTTGTGAGTGTTAACCATGCTTAATGGAACTCCGTCACTGAAGAGATAAAGAAAGAAATCCAATTAAGGTACACAACAAAAGAAAAAAGCTGTTTTAAGAAATGACTGAACCTTTTTTATTAGTGAAACTATGTTCAATTTATGGCTTCAGTAGGAACCAATGAGCTAAGAGCCATAGACCTGGTAGGGTCAGAAAGAGAGACAGACTAACACGCTCTTTCTTTTCCAGTGCAGCTCTGGTACCCTCTAGTAGTCAGCAATCGTCCTATCTGACCCTCAGTGTCTCCCTCCAGGTGAGCTGTGTGAAGAGAACATTGATGAATGTGAGAGCCAGCCTTGTCAAAATGGTGGTTGGTGTGAAGACGGCAGGGCGTCCTACACCTGCCACTGTCCTGAGGCAGAGCCAGGTGAACTTCCCTGGGGAGGAGATCACTGCCACGTGAAACTCCATGGCTGTGTGGACCATGAATGCCAGAACGGAGCCACCTGCCACCCATGGCTGGAGAGTGGAGAACACGGTCACACATGCTTGTGCCCCCCTGGCTTCTACGATGAGCAGTGCTCCACCAGAACAACCTTTTCCTTCTCCACTCCTGGATTCATTCACATCCAGGTTGTTCTAGAAGAAAGGACACGGAGGGAGGTTGAGCACCAAGTTCACAGTGGTTTCGGGTTACAGCTACGCTTCCGGACAACTATACCCAATATGTTGCTCTTCTACAGAGGTGATGTGGACTGTCTCCTCCTCTTGGAGATTGTGAATGGTGGTCTTCATGCAAAAGCCTTTTCTGAGGAGTCTGAACTGGATGTCACTTTTCCTGGTTTGGTTAGTGATGGAGACTGGCGGGATGCTCATGTGTTTATAGATAATGAAGGTCTGGTCTTGATTCTAAAAGGCCCTGGCTGTGACAGGGAAGGATGCAGAGTTATAGACAGCGGTACTGATGAACCACCTTTCCAGCCCTCTGAAGCCTTCACTCATATTTATGTAGGTGGAGCACCAGAGGAGCTTTTAGAGTACTCTCTAAGTGGTGCAGGCTTCATTGGATGTATGGAAGACCTGATGATCGACTCTAAGCCTGTCCTACCCCAAACACTTCCAGAGGACCAAGGCCATGAGCTGGGGTGCAGTAAGACTGAATGGTGTGAGCCCGACCCCTGCTATGGACATGGACGCTGTGTGGACCTGTGGACCAGCTATCAGTGTGACTGCTACCGTCCCTTCCACAGTGAGAGCTGCTCTGAAGGTACGCACCTTTTCTTTTGACAAATCTTGTCTAACCAGTCATAGGTGTACCACACTGTAAAGTACTCTGTTACCGATAAAAGTCCTACATTCCAAAAATGACTTAAATAAAATTGTGCAGAGTGGACCTGGTGAGTGATGACAGTTTCTTTATGACAGGACCCAAAAACAAAAGTAAAGATGCAATTAGCTAACATATTTATTTCCTATATGATGGCCACCTACAGAAAAGGTCTTGATTGCTACAGATGTTGCGTCTTTAAACATCTGCTGCCGTGTGAACTGCTGCATTGCAGTGCCATTCCGGATGCTGCAGTCCTATTACTAAATGTTCCAGTCCTATTTTACATGTGATCAATCCAAACTTCCAATTTTCCCCATGCAGAACTCCCTTCATGGACATACAGCCATGAGGACACAGTGAGTTTCAGTGCCTACGATGTAGGTAAGAGCCATGGGAACAGCTTCAATGTGTCCTTCTTCGTGAGGTCATTAAAGCCAGACGGGCTTCTGTTTCAGCTGAGGAGACCCACAGAGGATGAGGGGGGAGAGGTCTACTTCTCAGTCTACCTGGGGATGGGGAGGGTTTTTGTCAGCTCTCTGCCTAACAGTGCCCCACTGACCGCTCCCATTTTTGTGACCACTGGCGAGAAGCAACTACTACAGGTGGAAGTCCGACACAAGCAGGTGATCTTTGAGCATGCAGGCCTTCGCTATGGAATAGGAGAAATTCCTGAAGTGAATGTTAACAGTGGGGATAAGGTCTATGTTGGAGGACTTCCGGGAGACTGGAACTCTTATTTGTGGGGGGGGCATTACAAAGGTTGTCTGCAGGACCTTCGTTTGGACTCAGTGCATCTAGATGTGGATGCCTGGAACGCCTCTGATGAGGAGGAAGTGTATTTACCAAGTGATGCTGAAAATGCTAAGAAGGGCTGTGTCAGTGATGATACTTGCAAGGTAGGAAAAAGTTCCTTAATCTGCTTTGTTCCTTGCAGTAGTACTGTCACAATAATTGCTGTTCTGCTTTCTGTTATGATTTACAACAAAGGGATGATGGGAACTGCTTGTAAAAAAGATGCACTCTACAGAGAGCTATCTGCAGCTATGATTCCTTTCACTTGGCCAAAAGAATTACTGAATTACCAAATGGTGGCAAATGGCTGCAAAGCCCCCATCACTGGCAGTAACATCAAAATAAAATCTAACTTCAACATGCATGAGCATTAGATCTTAGTTAAATACGAAATAGTGTCAGGACATGCACTACATAATGGATGTGCTCTACAGCTGTTTAAATACCACATGGCTGATGAATGAGCCAGTGAAGTTGAAGTGTCAGTCAGCTGATGCGAACGTGATTTCAGTACTCTAACTGAATTAACACTATGCTTCATGTGATATGCTACAAGGCTGGCAATGAGTGCAACCATCTTGGAATAATGAATACCATCAATAAACCATCTAAAGTCATAATACTGTGAAGTTCTCTCATTGTAACCATTTTACCAACACTGAACGAATACAGCAATAGTGCCCACAAAGGTGTGTCAGCGAGGATGCTAAATCTGCAGCTCCTCCCAACTTAGACTGCCTGCAGAGAACTCACATAGTGCCAAAGCCTCATAGTGACCAAAACTAAACACACAGATGAGCCACCGACGCACAATGTACTCTCAACGTTTCTTTAGCACCGTGTTAACTTGTTGAAATATGGACGGAATGAGGCAGCCCTCAAATGACAGTTTTGGATAGAGCTCTTACCAAAGAGAACACTTTCAACCTTTATACTTTTAAAACGGTTCTGATGATTATTTGCTCAATGCTTCCCTCTACAGATGAAGCCTTGTCAAAATGGAGGAGAATGCAGCATCACATTCAACGATTTCACGTGTTCCTGTCCAGAGGAATACACCGGAAAGACCTGTGAGACCCGCGTGTGGTGCGTTAGTGATCCTTGTGTCAATGGTGGCCACTGTGTGGACCTTCCTGATGGATATGAATGTAAGAACATCTGCATCATTTTATGACTAGTCAGAAATTACAATACTACTGCCCACATGTAAACATTTCATCCATTTTTGATTGTGACTTCGAAATACTTTGCCAGAGGATCTAATTCAATGTTTACAATATTAGCAGAGTGCAAATAATAATTATTAGCACCGATAGTATATAAGTAGTTTGACATTTTGGGGCTGTAGGGTTGAATGTTTTCCCACGATTTTAAAATGCTTATTTCCCAGGAATATACAGTATATGAGTAAACTGTATGTGTCATACATTTTAAACATGGACCTGCAGATAATGAATAACATAATTTATGGTATTACTCTTTCATCTTTTTTAGATTATGTGGTGATATTCTTAATACAATATCTATTCCTCTTAATAGTACAGATGTAGTGACAGGGAAGGGAATTCTGTTGCATCCAGCTATTTCAGGGTCTTGTTTCGATGGTTTGAGGAACAGGTACATTGTTCTTAAACGATTAGGAGTTCTGGGGTGGTCTTCTGCACTCACTGCTCCACCTTTGAATGCTGCTCTGCACTCTGATTTTTAGCATAAAAAGTCGCTGGGAAAAAAAAGCCCAGCTACAAAGTTGTTCCAGTTATATCACCATAATAGCCACATTTACAAGAGGCCTGTATTTATCATTTACTGTATGAAAGGTCCTACACTGACTTTCATTAAACAGTGGGAGAGAGTGACACTCACATCTGTAAAGGAGAAATTGTGATGACATGTTATAGTTTCCTCATAGTTGCGGTTTTGTTAAGTTTGCTGAAAAGATTCAGGAGCAGACAAAAGGCAGATTAACGGTAAACTCAGGTTTATTCACAAAAGAAATCTGAAGAATTGATAGATGGGACGCTTGCAGGTATGAGCGAGGATTCCAGGCTTTGTGTGGGATTGAAAGCAGCGTCCTCAAAACACGTTCCAGGCAGGCAGGCAGGCGGGCAGGCAGGCAGGCAGGCGGGCAGGCAGGCAGGCAGGCAGGCAGGCAGGCAGGCAGGCGGGCAGGCAGGCAGGCAGGCAGGCAGGCAGGCGGGCAACATTAGTTGCTAGTCGCAAAAAGACTTTGGTTCTATTGAGTGGGCTGGAGCGGGAAAACAGGGGAAACATGAGGATGGAGGAGGGGACAAGGCCAAATCATGACAGGTTTGGAGTAATAAAGAGGGTAAACATGAACTTGCTGAAAATAGCTTTTTATGATTAGTTTTTTTCTGTATGGGAAAATAACATAGGTAACAATTTAAAATATATTGCTAAAATTATTTAAAATATATATACATGAACAAATAAATAAATAAATATGATATATATATATATATATAGATAGATAGATTTTAGCTGTAATCAAGCTTAGCTCATCACATGTATGCAGGTGACTTCCAGCATCCAGCCAGGGGAACATACAGGTGTGTTCAAAGAAAAGCTTTCTCTTTAGAAGGAGCTGTATCACAATCAAAGTCATCATTAATGCCTGCGGAAGATGTTGGTTCTGACAGAATCATCACTGTTACACAGATGCAGGTACCACTGTGAGGACATCAGTTTCTGCAGAGACATGTTCTCCTCTGCTCTTAGAACCCCTTTGGAACTCTCCTAAATATCTGCAGAGATAGGAGTGTTTTCCTAAGTAAGGTCTAAGAAGATAAAATGCTTTTACTACTAGTCCTAAAAGTAGGACCCACAATGCATGGTATGCTGGGGCAGCAGATACCCTGAGCTGAGCTATCGACAGTTGGTGCATAGTAAGTTAAATTGCTATTGGTTCTGCAACAAAGAAATGCAAATCCTATTTGTGAGGCGGTTCCTTTATTAAATGAGATCAAAACAAAACAATAATAATGCAGATATTTCTCCATGTCGACCCTTAGGTGTGTACAATGCCACATTTGAGAACAACCCTGTGCACTACAGTGCTGGAGGCTCCCTGGCTCAGCCTGTCTCTGACATATACATTGAGCTGCGGACTCGTTCAGAGAACGCTGTGCTCCTGAGGGCCTCCTGGGGCTCTGACCTGCTGATGGTGGGTCTGCTGGACTCTTCTGTCCGGTTGGAGATCCACATTGGCAACAGTGTCGAGACGCTGACCTTTTCAGGAGTTCGTCGAGTGGCTGACGGGAACTGGCATCGTGTGAACATCTCAATGGCAGAGAAGGAGCGCAAAGCCTCTCCCTGGGTCATCACCGTGGACGGAATCACAGATGCCACAAGCATGCCGGAGCACACGGGAAGCCTTCACTTTCTCAATGAGAAGGGGGCCACTTTGGCTATCGCAGAGAGCTTCACTGGCTGCTTGGGTGCAGTAAGAGTTGGAGGAGTCTACCTTCCTTTTGTGGATGACCAGAAAGCCCCGCAGCCATCTCAGTTCCATTTAGATGGAAAACCAAAGATTCATTTGGGTTGTACCAGCGCTCCTGTTTGTGATTCAGATCCTTGTCTAAATGGAGCCACATGTGAAGATCTCTTTAATAAATTCAGCTGTGTCTGTGACTCGGGCTGGGAGGGAGAACAGTGTGAGACAGACACTGATGACTGTGCATCTCAGCCCTGTGTTTATGGAAGCTGTAAGGACTACTTGGCTGGTTTTGAGTGCCGTTGCCACCCTGGATATACTGGCACGCTTTGTGATGAGGATCTTGACGAATGTGAGCATCATGCCTGTGAGCATGGAGGCACCTGTCAGGATGGACCCAACATGTACACCTGTATATGCCCCAAGAACTACAGTGGTCCTCTCTGCCAGTGAGTACTCCCTCATCCATCTATGAATTGGTTTGAACAGGCAGAGCTATCTGTAGCTTTAGCATAAGACACAAAGCAACATGGGACTCTGGATTTTCATTAAGCATTCATTGAAGTAAAGTTTCATACCTTTGTCACCAGGTGGGACTATCCTCCACTAAAGTGTGGTGAAGATGTCCAGTGTGCAAATGATGCTATCTGCAATGATGGACTGTGGGGAGCGAACTGTACATGCATGCCAGGTTTCACAGGCAGCAGGTGAGCTCACTTTTGATAGATTTGACTGTTTTTCTATTCATTTTATATTATTGTTTCCCTTCTCTGTCTCTCCTGGTTTTGAGATATCTGTCTCCGACCCTTACCCAACCCTTGTTGTGATAAGTCAAAGTATCTGTAGTGGGAACGATTATCTGGCATCATAAGAGGAAGCTGAAACAGTGTTGTCATGCAAAAGCATTAAAAGGACAATTATTTTTTAATAGAGTGTGAAGAAGAAATATATTTGAACACAGTTAGATATTTGGACTGTGATTCACTACTTCTAGTCACTACTGCATAGTGCTGTGACTTCTTATGCTCTGCAGATTTCAGAGAAAACAATATTAAAAGAAATGAGAAAAGGATAAAACATAGCAGGGCCGAAACAGAGCTATTCATATTCTCACCTTATTAAGGTAATATGCTGTGAAGCTTGGGAGAATTTACCACTGGACATGAGAAAAGTGTATGTTAAGCCTCTTTCACCACTTTACATCTGATGGTAATTTAACGTGTCAGCCTCATGTCTAAATAAGCACCCTGGTCACTTTTAGGTGAAGGTCATACCATACTGGTGAGGAGGACTGCACTGCCACCTCCCCTCCCCGTGAAAAAAGACTTATCTATATTTATTTAATATTATCCAAGAATTGAACATGACTCTATCATAATCTATCATAAAATTTCAGGTTTCTATCAGAGGAAGATAAAGTGACTTTAATAGTAGAGTAAGCATAGAGCATGAACAATATGATGTACATGGCATTTGTTTTTGTTTTTATTTTCCCATTATTATAGAAAGCACACACTTTGTTTTGCTTGAAGGACATCTGACGGAGCGTGCCTCCTCTCACACACCAGCTACCAAATAGAGCACAGTTTCTCTTTCCATATGTGCTGTCATGCCTGAATGATGCTGTCAAAGTCACCTCTGCCTAAATACAAAGAGCCCTCACTGTAACAGGCAGATAAAGCCAGCAGTGTTACATATTCCACGTCTAAAAAGGGCTATTCTGTACAATTTTTAAAAGGACCAGTTCATCCAAATTTAAAAACAAAACAAAACATATTTTGTGTCTTGCCTCTGCAGGTATGGTTTGGGATATCTACCTCTGAGATTTCATTGTTCACATTGAGGTCTATATCTCTGTGACAGAGACACTGTTCCTAGAAAGACACATTGCTCTGAGCAGCACAAACTAAATTCCTGTTATTTCCGTTGTTGCATGTGTTTTAACGCTGTCATAAAGACTTAGGAGGAGCAAACACTTGACTTCTCAGACAATTGTACAGTCAGTGGTGTTTGTGGAGCATCTTTGTGACGGTGTATTTTCTGTCTTGCAGGTGTGAAATGGAGACTAATGAGTGTGAGTCTAACCCCTGTCAAAATGGTGGTTCCTGTTTGGATCGGTTCAACATGTTTGTGTGTGAATGCCTGCCTGGCTACAGCGGTCCAGTCTGTGACAGTAACGTATGTTTATTACATTTTTCTTAGTATTCTACATACAAGTCAAGAGATGTCCATTTCCCCTTGTTACTTGGCAACATTTAACACTACATCCATAATGTTATATGTTCAGCATTATAAAACAGATGTTATTTTTATCTAAGACATATTGAAATGTCTCTAAAGACTTCCACATCCATGTCATTTATTTATTCAGGATGTGTTTTCAGATAGTTGTTATTTTAAACTGCAAATGCAAAAAAAACAGTCCCTTTATGAAATGTTGGTCCATGTCTGCATCAGTAAGGAACTCTCTGCCCTCTGTGCCTTTGCAGAAACAAGCCCATAAACAGGGAATCCCCTGGCTGGTGGTAGCCATCCCGCTGCTCTGCTTCTGTGTGTTGATACTGATCATTGGCTTGACCTTTATGGTACTCACGGCGAGGAAGAAGCGGCAGTCGGAGGGCGCGTACAGCCCCAGCGCTCAGGAGCTGGCTGGAGCACGGCTGGAGATGGACAGCATGCTCAAAGTCCCACCAGAGGAAAGACTCATCTGACACATGAAGGGTGTTGGGAGGGGGGGGTCTGAGCACTGCAGGTAGGTGCACAGGACTCATTGTGAAACCTTCAGATGCTCTCAATACCTGGGCTGGACTGAAGGAAATATGCCCTCTCCTGGTGGTGACCAGGTACTGACCCAGTAACAGAAATGTTTTAACCATGTGGGTACTTTGAGGACGTCTGAGGAACCAGCCCCAAGAAACATCTCCTCAGAAACTCACTGATAGGATGGGTTTCTGAGGTGCATTTCCACAGTTTAACTCTACACACTGGTTTCTCTGGCTGGTTTTATAGTCCTGACTAGTGTGTAGAAGCTTTATTTCACGACTCACTGCACGGTCCAGTGCTACAAGCACACAAACAATGGGAAATGGCTTCTGGTGCTTCCATTAGTCAGAGGATCATGGTACACCTGTGGTGCTGCTGGAAACTAGGTTGCATTCATAGGAAATAATTATCATTAGATGTCAGGGGCCCAAGCAGCGTCCCGCACTGTCAAGCAAATACACAGGGCTGTAAAGCTGCAGATTCTTTATTGGCCACTAGAAGCTGGATCTAAGAAAGGCTGTGCTGGAGTTAAGATTTACATTTTCAAATAATTTTATAATTAATAAATAAATAATAAATATAACAACACTTTAAAATGAATAAGAAAAATGTTACACAACAGAAAGTGTTGATTAAGTGCAAATACTGGAAACAGACCTAGTGAACAAAAGATGCCGCACATGAAGCATGTGACTTAAACATCACTCAATCTTACACTGAAGAGACAAAAACATCCGATCTGACCTTCCTCACATTTCTACATGAAACAAACTGATTTTTCCTTCATGTTTTCCACGTGGTTCTTGTTTGTTTGAGCTTGGGCTGGAGCTCTTTTAATTGATCTTCATCTTGTTTTGTGTTGTCTTCTGAAACGGTTATTATTGTTATAACCATTATTAACCCTGGAAACACAGACAACACGACTTCTACACCTTTCTCAACAGTGACATTGGCGCTGTCACGCTGTAACTGCTGCATTCTGTCAATGCTGGACTGCCAGTCGTGCTCAACATTCCATTTAGTTGAATATTGTACACAAAACCTGTTCAAAACTCAGCACAGCCACACTCTCTGTTACAGCAGGTTGAGGAACGTGGACTTCCTGGTTCCACTAACTGATTAAAATAGAAAACTGAGAGGGTGACATCATAGAGATTAGCAGCAATTATCAAATCAACTCTTTCCTCCCCACTAAAGTATTGTAGCACTATGACAACCTGATGACAGAACAGTTGGAAGCAGTTCTATCAAAGAAACTCACCAAGAGCACCAGGAAACGTACAGCACCTTAACAACGTCACAGAGCAGATGATGTTTAACAAGCTTATAAGAAGATACCACACATGCTTATCATGAGCTGCTCTGGTCTGCAGGGAGCTATAGGACAATGTAGGAAAGCACTCAGTGAGGTTAGTCTGGGGCCACAGGGTAAATTTGGCTACTGTAGTAGGACGTGTACCAGTCGGTCCCTGACAGGTGGACAGGCTGTGGCCACCTTGAGGTTTCTCGCTCCATGTGCTATCCATCCAGCTCCATTATTTTCATTATTTTGTGGGAGGCTTTCATGTCTTGCCCCAATCAAGACTGCTCTCTTTAGTTTGTAACCTGCACACACAGCAGCTTTATTATAAGCCCAGAGAGCCCAGTACTTCTGTGCTCAGTACAACAATGACCCGGACCCAAGTGTTCTGTGTCATTTAGTGTGAGGCAATTTGATTAAAGATAGAGTATGCACTATGTGAGCACAATACAAACAAGAACAAGAGTCTGACAATTCCCATAATGCTTGACCATCGACGTTGCACATCACTTTAGTGCACTCTTTAAAAAAAAAAAAAGAATCTGTGAAAAGAATTTCTAGCTCCAGTTCTTATGTGCTGTCACACACTTATAGACTTTCTCAACAACAAAAGCATTGATACAAGACACAATAGTTTGAAATCATGAAATGTGGGATGACACTGAAGCTTCTCGCTGGCAAATAACAACAGCCTCCAAGGAATTCCTGTGTATCAGAGGAAGCAGAGAAAAAGAGGCTGAGGAAATATCCATTACAAAATAGTGAGCAAAAGGGGAAATCCATACAGAAACACACAAAACATCTAATGTATATTTAAAAAAAATTATAATTCCGTTTCAGAGCCATTTACCTTGTTTTGTTGACATTTGTTGGTCTAGTTGTCCTTGTTAGGAACGCAGCCTGTTGTACAGTTTACTCCACAAGCTGACTTTCCCGTAGCGGTTTCTCTGTGTGACGCATGTACAGTTTGTATATTTATGTTTATTCTGTTAAACTGTTGTTGGACTTTGAGTTTTACTGTTAGCATGTGTCTGCTCATGTTTGTCTCAGCCTCTTTAGTAGCAACTTCACGTTTGTTTACAGAAATTGAAGAATATATTAAACCCAGGGGAATTCAAAAGTGTTTCTTGGGAGATGAGAACAAACCGCTTCTGTACATATGAAGTTCTCAGTATGTAAAATATATTTTTAGGATGTGGTTGAAATATTGCACCAAAATAAAATGTAAAGTTTGGAGGAAAAAACATGACATCCTGCAACATACTATAATGTGAAAAATGTGACAATATTAGTTTTTTTTTTTTTTTTAACAAACATGGAATCATTTGGTAAGAATTTAGTTCCTGGCTGCACAGTATGTCACCGTTCTCTTTGTCGTCTTTATTCTGACATACACAATCCAGGATGTTTATTCATAATGTATTTTAAAGATGCAACAAAATGAAATGCGTTCTTAAGTGTCCCTCTGATTAGCCTCCGTGCGTTTGGAAAACCAGACTCCATACACAAAAAGCAGGGGCTTCTGTCTGACCCCCATTTTAAGACTACAATTTTGACTTGTGTGCAGAAAAAAAATGTTTCCTAGATCAGATTCATTTGTTGACTAAGGAAACTATTCCATTATAACTTCATAAGATATGTGAAGAAAAATGAATTAGAAGAACATGTTATAGTAGCTTTTGTGATTCAGCCAGGGGGGCTCATTTATTATTAGGTGCGTTTGACTCATGCGACGGTGCGCAGCGCAGACTTAGCGTGATTCATGCTGGACTAATGCTGCGTTCCAGGCAACTGGGAACTCGGAAATTGACCTCTGACCTCCAACTATACAAAGTACCATAGAATGCCACTTGAAGTCGGATTTCATACTTGTGAACTCGGAGAAAAAATATGTAGCTCGACTTCAGGAGTAGCAGCTGGATGACATCACACAACAATGGCATCTCCCATGGAAGCACACATAAACCATAAACTAAGAGGCAAAGTAAAGGATTAAATTAAAATAATAGGCCTACATACTAGTATCAAATAGTAAATCTTGTTCTGCATGTAAATTGATGTAGAAATACGTTGTCAATGTTATTAGGCAGCTGGTTACAGTAAAGAATCTCTGAAAGTCATCTTCTCTGCCCAAAAGTTATTCAGGAAAGTCTTTGGACACATTTGGAAATATAGCCCACAACTTTTGCCTACTTTTGAAGTACCAACTGATGTAGCTAGAAGGATACACAGTTAACGAGTAACCTATATTTAATGTTTGTTTTTAATAAAATGACCATCCTTTTAATTAACACCAAGCGCACTGCTGAGGGTTTAACTGCACATAATTTTGCCAGTTTGTCACGGTCAGCCATGTTTTTCGTTGACTATCGGCGTCAAAAAAATCTGCTGGCCGGCTGAGATCTGCTAAACTTGGGGGAGAGGAGCAGCTCAGCAACCTTTGGACAAATAAACACCCGTAGTCTGTCTGGATTCTGCTCTGACAACTACACCGTTTACTCGTGGGAAGAGCTAGGAGTAAACTGCTTTTATTAAATGAGCTTTTTACTTTAGTTTTTGGAATTTCAACGTTGATTTATCTTCACTGGAGCTTCTCAGCAGCTTCCGTGCACATCCGGTTCCACTGTTGTTAGCATCGTTAGCTCTGTCGGACTATGACTTCATATTTACATAAAAACGGACAAAACTGGACATTACTTGGAGAAAAACAAGTGAGGAGGTTGAACTACTTGGTGAGTTCAGAAAACATGTGTCTGTAACTTTATTCCAGCTATCGTTGTACTTTATTGTGACCAAGTTAGCATAGCATAGCCCTGATCGATCCAAACTCCATTCAGGAAAGCGTGGCGAGGAGAAAATTCGCGTTTGGTCTGAATGCCGCATTAGTCTAGACCTGATGTATGTGATTTCCCTGCTGGTTATGTAGGGGTATTACAGTTTACAGTGTATTATAGCACCCAAGCCTGCGGCAAACTTTGCATTTGCTTTCTAAACAATGTGATGGAAAATAGGAGAAAGTTTAAATTATTTTCCAGGTCAACACAAGACTTTGCACTAAGGAACCTAACTTCTACCACATCAACTCAACTGTTTTCACATGGGATTCATCCTGACCAAATCTTTTATTATTATTAATAAACAAGCATACAACAAGTGTGCAAAATTAAGGACTTGAATTATTTTGGGTCCCCATTTTGTCGCAGGTGATGTGATAAACAGGAGAAAGTAGACCATTTCCAAGGGTTTGACATTATTTCACTGATCTTCATGGTGGTAACACACAAAGATATGCAGCAACGCAGTAAACAAGATTCAAACTTTAAAGAAAACTCCACAGGGATCGTTAAAGGAACAGTCTGACACTTTGGGAAATCCTCTTTTTTGTAATCTTATTCAGAGGTAGATGAAGGGATCTACATAAACACATCTACCTAAGTACATCTGTAGGTTCAGCCTAGTTTAACACCACAGCCAGGGGAGACAGTTAACTTATCTCAAAATTCATTCAGTTCAAATGTTCGTTTGAACAGTATGCAAGCACCCTAAGACCACATGGTTATCATATTTTGCTTAACTTTCATCAGCAATCACTGAAAATGTGCCCTCTATTCATTTCTTTAAAGAAGGGGATGGGATGGATCTGCTTTCAAACACACACTGATCCTGGTTTGCTTCACCAAGATTTCAATGGCCTCATGGCTGCCAAGTGTAGTGATGGGGCCCAGTCAATAAAGTCTTTGGCATTGACACATCCAAATTAACAACTACTGGAGGTCAATTGGTGTGTGATTACCCTTTTGACAGAGGTTAACTATTTCCTGCTGCTTTCAGCTGTCATGCTAAGCTGGGCTAATCATGTTAAACAGATTAAATTTATATTGGTCCTCTCACCTGACCGTGATGCTCATACACTACTTAAAGAAGAAATCCATCAAACACACTCTTGACATTTTCCTTTGAAATTATTTGGCGGTTGCTTTGGAGCAGGCAGCTCCAGTGGACTTATGGTTTCTGCCTCCCACGATGGTCAGATTACAGTGACTCAGTGTAGTCACTCAACAACCACTGCATTAGCAATCATTTCAAACTGCACAGGGTTAGTTTAGTTTGACAATGTCTCCAAACTAACAGGGGAAAGCAAGAAAAAATACAATTACAGAAACCCAGACAAACTGGAGCACAGTGTTGTGGATTTTAATATTTAGATTTAGATTTTAATATTTCTTTTTCAACATGTGGATATTTGGTGTGATGGTGGTGCTAAAGAAAAGTCAGTGTCACCAAAAATATAAGTTTCATCCTCTGAGAATCACAAATTCATAGTCCTTTGAGGATCATCTTTTTGATGTATACTGTCGTGGACCAAACTGTTGAGCAAATGGAAATATCTGATTGTGGCACTAGAGGAAAGGACGGGGCTTTACAAGGTCAAATAATCTGGAATCATTCCGCAGGGACCATGAACTTCCATATTAAATGTCATGTAAATATGAAGCAACAGAGAAGATATATGCATCTGGATCAATTGACAAAATATCGTCATAATTGGGGGGGAAAAGAAACTCAACACAATACTGTCAGTTGTGGAATTTTAAATCAAGGGAATCTGACAAGTTATGATGAAATAGCTGTATTTTAAGCAAGAGCAGTAGGATACTAATCACAACTCTTCTAGTAAGTCTTAAAACAAAAATAGCATCATCTGAGCGCACACACACACACACACACACACGCACGCGCACGCACGCACACACACACACACACACACACACACACACACACACACACACACGCACACGCACACGCACACGCACACGCACACACACACACACACACACACACACAGCAACCTGATATGTACAGCATTCTGAATGGACTTTTTGGCATTCACCACCATGATCGCCTGGAAAGCGGTAAAGTCTGACAAGATGGGACGATTTCTGTTGTTGAAGAAGTCAGAACAGCTGAAATAGAAACTGGTGGCAAAACTGTGACAACCATTATTTCTGTACTCTATAAACACTTGACATCACAATGTGTAAGCAGCCTGTGACTCATTAGCCAATCACTGTCATCAAATACAAAGTAATACTTGACAAAGGCAAAAACCAACAGAAACCAACTGAGAGAAGTGCATACATCAGCAGAAGAATCACTGAAAAGAACCTTTAAAACAACATAATATAAAATAAAGTGTTTCAAAGACCCAGTATATTTAATTAGCGAGAACAGTTTAAAATAATTTAAGGGACAGTGCAGACTGCTGCAGGCTGGCAGGATTTCTTAAAAGGTTTCTTTTTAGAAAAAAAACAATGGGAGGCAACACATTTTGAAAGGTCAGTGAGAGAAGCCGAAGATGGGATTCACCATGAACGGCAAAGAAAAAAAGCACTGAGCATGAAGCTACCAAAAACATCAGTAGGTGAGCTAACTGCATGAAGCACCACACTCTGTAGCTACAGTACCATAATGCCATTAGGATGTTCAGAAACTACAGCAGACTAGCTAACTAGTAATAATACTAGCTAATCGTAGAAGTAGACATCATTAAGACATCTGCTATTGTGAGTGTGACAGGTCCTCTTTTAGGAAATACTATTTTTAAACTCACAAATCTATACTGAGCACTACGCTAATGTGCTGGCATTAAAGACAGATGACACGAGAGGTTGCTGTGCAAAGAACTGTGTTAGTGGCAATGGTCTGAAAATTGTTGGCATCTGAACATGTTGAAGCAAAGCCTGCTTTGTGTGTGACTTCCCGGGCAAAATGGCAGGAGAATGAAACAACACAAAATATCCAAATTCAAACAGTTCAAAGACCGGTTGAGTTTAGTTGCTGCGTGCTGATGACAGTCCACAGTCTCCACACACGCTCCTGTCACTGGTGAGCAGCAGAGCTCATGGTGGTGGCAGGGGAGGTGTGTGTGCATGTGTGTGTAGGGTGTCATCGCATGAGCATTTCTACCAACTGGATCAGGACCTTCTGTGGCAGCAGACGACATATCTCTGATGCATTTGCACTACTCCATATGCCCAAAACACAGCAGTAGAAGAAAATCCTGTCATTGCAGTCTAACACAAAAGTCATCAATCAAGAAAACTGACGATAAAAAAGCACCAATTACAGACTGCAATGTGGTAAGAAAAGCTATTTATTTTAAGTTATGACCTGTAAGATTTCAGCCCTGGTTGATTTGGTGGTGATGGCTAGGGAAAACACCTGCTTTAACCACTGGAGGCAGCGAAAACACCTGTAAAGATTTCCTGTCAGAAATACCATAGAGGAAGAGCAACTTCTGTATCAAACTGTGGGCTGAGAGGGTTTATTATGTCAGGGTGTTTTAATAAACATGTACTAAACTGTACTAATGATCTAGTGACGTCTTTTGCTTCATGCCCAGTACATGCAGCTTCCTGTGAAGCCCTTTTGAGTGGGTACACCATTTGAATCCCACACAGGGCATGAAGACCCCAATCATTACAAAAAACAAAAATGGAGTTCTAATATAATGAAAATGAAGGATTATAACTATAATGTTGGGTGTTAGCTTGTGAGTTGAGGTGCTTAAGGACAGCGGTTAATACTGTGTCAGCCACCCGGCGACATAACCGTCTTTCAGTATTTCAACTAAGAAGCAGCAGGGAGAACCTAACCAACCGATGCCTAAATCTGAACGCACTAACAACCTTTACAATAAGCTACATGTGCTGCTAGCCTTGTTAAAGGAGCCCCAGGATCGTTTTCCTGTGTGGTTTCTATGGTGAGCTGAGGTGGCAAGCAGAAAAAAAGCTCAGCCATCATCAACTCAGACAGCAGTGGCAAATAACTGTACACGTTGCTGAGAAGCCCTCTCTCCTCAGATCTTGACTTTACACTGGATACAATGAAGGTGGCGGCAGCAGCTGCTTACTGTTGTTAATGTTGCTGGGCTGCAGGGGAAATCATGTAAGCCTCATTAGCTTATGTTTCCTAAATCATTTTAGTTCTGGCTAGCTAACAATACTTACAAATGTTAAAAAGCTAGCAGAGCCCACAGATATCTACATCACTTTGGAATAGACGATTAGGAAGAATCTCAACTCTCAAGTTGCATTCCTCAGCATGTCTTTAATCTCAGTTTAAGATATTCTTCTACGATTGTGAGATGCACAAGCAGAGTGTTTTAGAGCTAATGCGGTATTAACTGCAACAGAAGGTCATGATAGAGCAGTGAGGGAAGTTTGGGTAGTGACAGAGTACCTTAGTCCATATTCACAGGTTTTAGTCAAATGTTTCCCACCTCCTCCGAAGGTCCTCCGCTTTCTTTTTTTGGGGTGTAGCTGGCTTGGCCATAGTCAGCAGATCCCCAAAAGGATCCTGATTTTTCTGGCTGTCTCCCTCAGCACGAAGTGGCTTTGCCAGTATGTTCAGGGCTGTACTGGGGACAGACGAGGAGTCCGCCAGGCTGGAAAGAGCATGATTGCTGGCAGAGGACTGAGGCAGGGAGGTGACGGATGAAGCGAAGGCAGACTGGAGCAGTCCATAGCTGGGTGGCAGAGTCGAGCTGCCTGGCGAATGCTGTCTGTAGAGGCCCGCTAGTGTAGAAAATGACTGCGGCTGGGGTGGAGTGTGTAGGTAAGAGCCTGGTGGAGGCCCATAGAGTGCACTGAAGGGATTCCCACTTACGGTCGGTGAGTAATGCATTTGAGGGGAGGTGTGCTGCAGAGACTGGGCAAAAGGGTTGAGGGATATATGAGTATGCACTGGAAATGGGGGCAAACCCTGTGGGTAAGACCTTGGTGGTAGTGTTGGTTTGCAAGAAGAGGAAGACACACCAACATCTACCCCATCACTCAATGAAGTGGAACTGGTTGCTGCTGAGCTGTTCAGAGGGTCCAGGAGGCTTATCAGATCTATACTGTCTTTGGTAGCCTTGGTGGGCTTCAGCAGGTCCCCATCTGTGGTCATACTCAGGGCTTGCCTAAACTCTTGTCCCCCTGATGTAGTCCCTCCTTCACCAGCTCCTGCTGGTTTAGAGCGCGTCTGGGCCACAGGGGGTGCTAGGACACTACCAAGCTCAGGTGTTTTCCTTCCGTGGGGACGTGGAATGGTGATGTTGCCTGGGATGGAAGGGTCCAAAGAATCGGGGCCCGGGCCGGAGCTTTCATGGCTCGGAGAGTGGGCATCTGTCCGCACAGGAAGCTGGACAGGCGCAGGTCTATCGCAGGCAGGAGGCACACAAACGGGCAAGGCTGTCTGATCCTGCCCTATACTCCACAGCTTGTTGTAAGGGTTGGAGAGCTTCAGGCCTGGAAGCGTTCGCGAGTGTTCATCGACACTGAAGTCCATCCGCTGCAAACATAAAAAAGAATTCAGACTTTAAAGGATCAAACCAGTGTTTTTTCACAATCATCTGCTTACAACTTACATTACTTTTGTTTTTTTCTACCCACCTATTGGTTTCAATTCGTTTTAGTACACCATCAAACTCTACTCGCAGAGACTTGTAACTTGCTCAACATAGCGAATGCATCATATGCCGTTATTCCATTACCAGTACCAGCTCAACTCGCCTTGACTCTACTTGGTTTTGGCCTGCCGTCCTCCCTTTTCCATATAGACATAGAACCCAGAGATAGTACCCCTCAATGTAGCTGGTCGTCATAGCAACGCCACACACCGGCAACCCACATACAGCTGTCTCTTGTTTTTAAGTTAAAACGTTTGAACATTCCTCCGAATGTAAAGACAGATAAGCGGTATGAAAACCTTCCAGCTGTGTTTTCCTCTGCCGTTGTTGCTGTGACGGCGGGAGCAGAGGGCTCTGTGAGCGGGCGGCTGGCCGGCCTCACACGCTCCTCCCGCGGGTTGGCACAGGCTTCCCGCCGCAGCCACTTGCGGAGCTCCTCAACTCCGTAAATATTCAAGCACATTTTTGTTCCGCCATCACAGTCAATATTCAAAATCTACACAGCTGATTTCTCACCTCAAAACTTCTCAGAAGTGGATTTAGTGATGAAATTCCATATGAAAACTGTAAAATATAAAACTTTCTGTTGCTGGTCTCTGTCTGGTGCAGCAATGATGATGCAGTGAATAGTGAATATTCTCTCTGACCAATCAGCAGTGTGCTGTGTTTTCACGTTACATTTTAGTATCTCTCAGCTCCCTTGGAACCTCGATGGAAGTGATATGAAAAAAAGTACTTGGTAGCAGGTGTAGCTACCAAATCTGTGCTGCCTGCCGGATCCCTATCTGCACATGCGCAGAAGTGGTCCTGTCTGTCAAAGACGATTACTACAAATGTGCCTGTTCATAATTACTCGTGTGATGTTGCCTGTTCTCATCTCAGGGCGTCAAATACTGACGCTTTCAGAAAGGCTGACAAAGCGTTATCTGATCATAGTCTCTGATGCAAAAGGTACCCTTCAGTGTGCGTAAGAGATGCCACCGAGCGAGTCTGTATCAGGTCTGTATGAGACGCCCTGTATAGACCGGAAGCAATAGTTGCTAGCTAGGTAGCTATGTTAATATCAATGTCGACAGCTTCCCAAAGCCCCTTACCCTTACCCTAACCAGGGGTGTGTGCCTAAACCTAAGTCAGCAATTGTATGCATGTCGACCAGCCTGACGGCCAATGGGCTAGCAGCTAGGGTTAGCCTCCTTTGTGTTGCTGCTTTGTTAGTTTGTTAAAAATGTACTGTTGAATAAGGTTTTTCATATCTTAAGTATATTCCTATTACATCATAGTGAATAGTTTAATCTCCAGTGATTAAAAAAACATTTTGTTATCTTGATTTGAAAGATTTAGTTGGATCATTTTGAATAGGCAGATTTGCGGTAACCGTCTTTGACTGTCAGAACCACTTTTGCGCATGTGCAGAACGGATGACAGCAGATACAAGTACAACTTTTCTACAATGGAAAACCAAAAAAAGGCGAGTAGAGTCAAGGAGAGTCGAGCTGGTACCATGCTGTGGAAAAGGGGCTATAAATATAGAATTTTAGTTCATTTTAGTTTGAATAGTGTTAAAATGTGAGTGATCTGTGAATCCTTCTGTTGGTGCATTGACGTGATAAAGTGAAGGTTTGGTGACAGAACTTCACTGATCAGTAAGAAAATGTCAGACCGCGAATATCATGATGAGGAGCTCCGACAAGAAGAGGATTATGCTGCTGCAGCGTCTCAGTTTAAGCCAGAGCATGCCGAGGAGGAAATAGTGCTGAGGTGAGCCGAGCAAGAAAGGGAAAGGGCAAAAAGAGGGGACACAGCCACAATATTATCGGACCAACCCGAACATCAACCTCAGAGACAACAGACAGCAGCTGCAGGAGGAGTTGTAACACATGACAAACTATGTGATCCACAACTGAACTGAACCCACATGATTTCAGCACTCTCTAAGGTTCACAGTAAAGTTGACCAACTTGTTCATCCCTCCCAGCAACAATGTTTAAGTTTAGAAAGTAGTGTGCTTCAAGGAGTATAATCTGTTCAATCAGAACTAGTAGTAGGCAGGACATCTGTCCTGCTAACTGATGCAAACCGAACTACACAGAAGGAAGGTTGTCCCAGGATAAAAGATGTTTTATGAGCAAAATCATAATTACTGTGAGATATAAATACAGAGGGATATTTTTAGTGGGTGAAGGACTGAGTTGTATCACCTGAAGATTTCATTTAGAAAATGTAAATTCTGCAAATGTAAAGCTAAAATATATGACTGAATGCTTTGGCACTAATAGAAGGCCTAAGCAGATTGTAGTCATTTTGCTTAAACATGCAAAACCACTGGTATGGTCCCAATGGTGGTGAGGTAGGACAACTAAAACACTCAGAGATAAAGTCTCCATGTGCTTTATCAGTATTGTTGGAGAATATTGACAGTGAGTCCATCATAAATAGCTCAGAAACACGTGCAATACAACACAAAGACCAGATATGTTTTTGGCTTAAGGGAAAATTTGCCATGCCAAAGGTGCTAGAAGAAGGTTTAGGTGGTTTTAAGAATCATTCTACATATTTTACGAGGTATTTTGGTCCAAAAAAAGTGTTTAACTCTATCTGGACCAAACATTGTTTTTTTGGAAACCACACTATTTGGACATCTGACCTGGTAGGTGAACTTGGCTTGTAGCTCCGCAGAGTCTTTGGAAGTCCTCAGGTCCTCAAGACTTTTAGCCAAGGTAAGTGGATGGCTGTCAGGCTCGTCCTGGCAGCCGAAGATATCGCCCAGCAGGTTGACATTGGAGAACTTCTCATTAACTGGGCTGGGAGGGGCAGTGTGACTCTCTGCCGCAAATCCAGGATCGTCCCCTTCTATCAACTCAACCTCCTTTAGGGAGCGGTACGGCTGTGGCCTGCAAGGAGATGGTTTTGGTTATTTATTTCTCTCACACACTAGAGGGCTTCATAGGTCAAAACACTTTACCCAACCCGCAAAAATGACCACTGACCTTTTACCCCACTTTTTATTCTTCTGTAATTACACATGCTGTGCTGTCCCTGCACTCTCTCTGAGGATAAGGCTGGCTGTATATTGTTCTTACTCTCAACCAGTCCCTTGAAATCCATTATTTTTGGGGCACATGTAGTTTATTTTGAGTCAAATTCCTCATTACCACACCAGTTGTGTATTAATCTGCAGATTAAACTAGTAAACACAATAAATGCACTTCTGTTTGAGTAATGTAATGAAAATATAGTGCCCAACTGTTTTAGGAAGTTATGTTAAATTTTTAGTCTTCAAAAAATCTAAATCAAAAATATATTTAAGAACTGTTTATATCTTCAGTAGAACCCAGTGGGCTTTGGGCTGACTTGTACACACAGGGTAGGGAAGTCGGAAAGTAGCAAAAAGAAAGTAACCTGCCAAATCAAGAAACTTCCTCCCATTGACGCAAAAGTTTGGCATAAAGCTTTCCTTTTCATTGATTTTCGACATTGCTCACAAAAGGTCAAGTGCAACCAGAGACGGTAAAAGCATAGCTACGCCATACCTAACCCACCAGGTCCTTATGTAAATCAGAATTTGACTCTTTCCCCTCTTTTTAAAACCTAATCCCAAGATTCTCCTATACAATGACCATAATGTCCTCCATGTGAATCTTTAAAACACATGTACACACATTTCATTAGAAAGAAAAGAGGTGAGTTGAGAAAGGCTTATTAATTAGTCAATAGTGCAAAGCAAATCAGAGAGATGCGTACAGAGGCGACCACTCAAAAGGAACGGAGAAGAGAAAGCTGTCAGGAAAGCCAGAGATGGAGTCATCATCGTACTGGAGCTCGTCTCCGGATGAATCCTCAGAGAGAAAGACTGTGTAGTGACGAGTAGGACGGATAGAGCTACGGTGAGAAGGAGGAAGATAACAGGAAATTAACAGCTTATTACACACATGTTAATTAAGTCCATTAAAAGCAACAGGAAAGAAGAGGAAAATTAAGAAAAGGATGGTTAAGAATTAGCAAAATTAAGAGTATTATTTTTTATTGTTATTTACGTACAGTGAATTAGGATTAGTATGTTACTAACATTTGAATGAGCCTGAAGGAAGCTGGGCAGTTAGTTTAAAAAGAAATTAGACCACTATGGCACAAACAAACAAACAAACAAACCAATGAACAAAATTTGTTAAATTGCTGAAAGAAAGCCAAAAATGTTGAACCCTGTGTGACTGTATTTGGCAGCTGAAAGGTGTAAGATTTTTTCTGTCCCACTGAAGCAGTACAAAGCTGCAACACAGTTAATCCTGCTCATTAACTCATATGTCACTATAACGTGGGCTACTTTACATTCACTTCGCATTTTAGACTTACATAACTCTCTCTTCTGGTAAGTTAGAAAACATCATTTCATTTTTAGATCAGTTATCAAACTGAACATACTCAGAATGCTCAATAAATCAAGCTTACTCACTTAAATGAAGCAACTAAAATGTTCCTTGAAAATGCACTCAGGATGGTCTTACTGAAAAACTGGCGTGGCACAAAATGTTCTCCATGTAATATTCACATTTTCACATTAACATTACGCAAAACCACAACGCACCAGAGAATGTGAAATAGTTCAGAGTAAAACATCTGTCAGTGTGCTGGCACAGATCTTGATTCTCTTTCCTCTGTCTCAGTAAGAGACACAGGAAGCCATCTGCAGGAGACCCTTAGTGTGTCTGGCAGAAGTCTGATGTAACAAAGAGGGTGTTGAAGTGAGTGAGGGCTGCGAGCTCATTTTCTCCAAAACATCCCTTTTCTTATCCTTTTCCAAGGACGAAAGAAAACTAGAAACGGGCAGATGTTTTCTTGTCTCAGACCAGAGAGTTCCTTGTATAATGGCACCACCAAGTGGGTTAAAGTGTAACAGCATATGATCAGGTGACATCAGGATTATCCTCTTCTATTGGGAGGAGCGTGCTGCAGAAGAGAACTTTGGGGAGTAAATGTTGATGCCAAGAGAAGTCAAGCAAATCATATGAAGCTGGTAAAGCAGCACTGGATGGCTTTTACTGTGAAGCAGCTGCAGGAAGTGTTAAACATTAACAATGCATTTATATTGCAAGTGAGGCAACTTGAATAATTAAGAACAAACACACTCCTAAATTAAAGCTGCAAGCAGCGTTGGGCGGGCCCTCGCACTTGTAAGCGCGTCCGCGCGTGAGCCGGCCGAGTTGCATATTCTGGAGCTCTGCCGGTGCGGCTGTGAATTTCCTACGCGTTTCCGACGCCGCATGAATGTGCTATATGTCACTTCCTGTGTCCCCTATGTGGAGCTACATAGCACTTGCCGCTATGAATATAAATCGGTATTGACGTGTAGATGTCTGCGGGGTGGGAGAGTTATCAAGCACGTAAAGTTTGTTTCAGATGTGAACATGTACACTGAACAATAATGTACCCAAACAATAAAATAAATTCCTTTTATATTTCCCTGCCTTGTTGTTTATGTGTACATACAGAGGAAGAATGTGAGAACAGCACACATTTCATCGTTACTGTGTGTTAGAGCATGGGAGAACAGTGGATACTTTTAATACAGCCCACACCCCTAATACTGTGTAACTATAACAAGTAGAGAACAGAAGAAAAAGATGTTCTTTCTTTACAACTGTCTGCATAGCTTATTCATATTGTGTAATGAATGAAAATAAATAGGCCTACTAGGCTCCTCTCCACTTTGACATTTAAGATTAGCTTGTTTGATCCACCTTCATACACATGTGACATTACTGTACAACTTGAGAAAGGTGAGTTGTTTTCTGCTCCAGCCTGCCTAAAAGAAAAGCGTTTTGGGGATTAAATGGACTTTATTAGCTGCTGCAGTGCAGGATGAACTCAGAATAGACCCATTTCTCACCTTATTATTCTAAATCATGCAACGAAGAAGAAGAAATGCATAAGAAATCCTGGACAAAATCTGTCCACAAATACTGTACAGCATGTAGTCTGATGAACAAGACTTGTGTTATAGCTGATTTGGGCAGTGAAATGTTTTTTTAATTCATGTGGTCATAGTTGTCCACAACTCAAATCAGAATATAAGAAGAAATGTTTTATACCACCTCAAGAAGGCTTCCTATCAGAAAGGTAGGAAGGTATTTCAAATGTACAACTGCAGTACTTAAATCTAAGTAAAGTAATTTCCCTGACATTTTTGTGTTACTTTACTTTTAATAGACCCATGTAAGAGGTTTTATACTTCCTGTGAGTATAATCCAATCAATCTTATTTTCATACTGTATATCCGTTGTGTAATTTGATAAATTGTGTTGTATGTCGTGCTCGCATCTCAGAGAAGACTCTGACTGCAACATGCGTCTTTGTAAAGAGAGAAACAGACAGAAAAAGTCTCTAACTCTGCCTGTCAGCTCGCTCTGCTCCGTTAAAACTGAATTTACCATACAGAATTGAATACGAGTGCACTCCAGATTTAGCTGCAGCCAGCTGACCGTGTGCTTCTCCCTATACCGCAGTTCTGTGTCCATGCATGCAGCAAACTGAAAGCACTGTCTGTCGGTGCTTCTACGTGAAAAGAAGGAAGACATTGCTGGTAGTATTGTCTTCAGAGTTGTTAAACACCTCAGCGCACTGAAGGAAGCCATCTGACTGTGTGAGGGGCAAGATCGTTGATGTCTGCAGGCAGAGTAGGAGCTCTCCTGTCTGACTGGTCCACCAATAGCAGAGAAGATGACCCCTTGAGACACAGCCCCTCCTCATTTGCATAATGAGGCAGAAATGCATACAAAAATTTAAAAAAGACAGGCAGAAATAAATACCATGGGTGAAAATAATAAGGTAAATAAATACAAAGGAAGAATAAAAACAGACAAAAATATTAAAACACATAAATAATACATTAAAAAAATTAGTAATAAATAAAGTTGAATAAACAAATAAGGTAATTATAACAAAGGTGAATAAGTAAAGGCACTAATTAAATATATACATTTATGTCTCCTTGTATAATTTAATTACTACCTACATTTATTTATTTACTTAATTTTTTTTGTGTATTTAATTGGATGCTTATTTATTTATTGAGCATTTATTTATTTCTGTATTTATTTCTGACTGTGTCAGGATCGGTCCTCCATAGCGGGGTGGGAGAGTTATCAAGCACGTAAAGTTTGGTGCAGATGTGAGCATGTACACTGAAGTTACAACACTTCCTGTGTCATGGCGAAGACTTGATCTCTGACGCCACGCCGGACACACCCATTGACGAAAACTCGCAAATAGCACAACTTTTCATCTTCAATGCCTTTAGAAGGCACAGCACAAATTTGAAGTCGGTCGGACTAAATCCCTAGGAGGAGTTCGTTAAAGTACGAAGTGTGTAAATCATCCAAAATTTGACGTAAAATTCAAAATGGCCTACTTCCTGTTGATTTTAGGGCATCGCTCCAAGAGGCTTTTTTGTGCGTCTGGACAAGATACACGTACCACAGAAAATTTGTGCACGTAGGTAAAACGTGCGGCGGGGGCTGCTTCGTTAAAAGTCACTTCCTGTTGCCAGCAGGTGGCGCTATGACTGTCTGTGAATGTCAGCATGTACATGTGTTCAGGGCGGGACTCTCATCCTACATGTACAGTTTGGTCCAGATGTGAGCATGTACACTGAAGCTACGACAACTTCCGTGTCATGGCGAAGAGTTGATCTTTGACGCCACGCCACGGACACGCCCATTGACGAAAACTTGCAAATAGCACAACTTTTCATCTTCAATGCCTTTAGAAGGCACAGCACAAATTTGAGGTCGGTCGGACTAAATCCCTAGGAGGAGTTCGTTAAAGTACGAAGTGTGTAAATCATCCAAAATTTGACGTAAAATTCAAAATGGCCGACTTCCTGTTGATTTTAGGGCATCGCTCCAAGAGGCTTTTTTGTGCGTCTGGACAAGATACACGTACCACAGAAAATTCGTGCACGTAGGTGAAACGTGCGGCGGGGGCTGCTTCGTTAAAAGTCACTTCCTGTTGCCAGCAGGTGGCGCTATGACTGTCTGTGAATGTCAGCAGAACATGTGTTCAGGACGGGACTCTCATCCTACATGTACAGTTTGGTCCAGATGTGAGCATGTACACTGAAGTTACGACAACTTCCGTGTCATGGCGAAGAGCTGATCTTTGACGCCACGCCACGGACACGCCCATTGACGAAAACTTGCAAATAGCACAACTTTTCATCTTCAATGCCTTTAGAAGGCACAGCAAAAATTTGAGGTCGGTCGGACTAAATCCCTAGGAGGAGTTCGTTAAAGTACGAAGTGTGTAAATCATCCAAAATTTGACGTAAAATTCAAAATGGCCGACTTCCTGTTGATTTTAGGCTATGGCTCCAAGAGGCTTTTTTGTGCGTCTGGACAAGATACACGTACCACAGAAAATTCGTGCACGTAGGTGAAACGTGCGGCGGGGGCTGCTTCGTTAAAGGTCACTTTCTGTTGCCAGCAGGTGGCGCTATGACTGTGGGTGAATGTCGGCATGTACATGTGTTCAGGGCGGGACTCTCATCCTACATGTACAGTTTGGTCCAGATGTGAGCATGTACACTGAAGTTACAACAACTTCCTGTTTCATTGCGAATCATCGACGTCACGGACACGCCCATTGACGAAAACTCGCAAATAGCACAACTTTTCATCGTCAATGCCTTTAGAAGGCACAGCAGAAATTTGACGTCGATCCGACTAAATCCCTAGGAGGAGTTCGTTAAAGTACGAAGTGTTAAATCATCCAAAAATGGCCATAAAATTCAAAATGGCCGACTTCCTGTTGACTTTAGGCTATGGGTTCTTGAGGCTTTTTTTGCGTCTTGATATGATACATGTCCCCAGAAAATTTCGTACATG